TGAGTAGAGCTGACGTTTCCATTGAATTTCACATAGTCTTGCTTTCCCAAAAGTTGTTCTCATCCAGACACCAGTGGACTGCAATTTCGACCTCGCATTGGTCTTATAAATACCCCCAGCGGGATTCGAACCGTGACAGTGCAGAATGGGAGCTTGACACGTCAACCACTCGACCACATTGCCACGAGTGCCCTTGGGTCACAGGGCAGATGTGAATTTTGAGGAAGGCCAGTCCTTTTGTCATTCTTTGGTGGTATTTTCAATGAAGCAATCAAGTATATCTGCTATTACAATTGAGTACCTTCATTATTTTTCGTATTTTAAGTGGATTTTAGAGACTATCAGTAAATCAGTAATATGATATGTACTATGTATTTACTCTATTTCCTATAAGGCTGTTGCATTTTTTCAAAACGGCCCGAGTAAGCCTCTCTACTCTTGATGAGAATACCTTTTTGGAAGCAAGACTATGTGAAATTTAATGGAACAGTAAGGTCTACTCATATGATTGTGGGAAAATTCATCAATCGCGTGTAAACGAAACAGGGTGAATTCAGTTCTGGTAGTCTACGGGACTTGCTTCTGCTTTGGCTATCCGACTGGCACGGACACAATTGCACGCACGTACACAGACGTACACATGCAAGCCGACAGGCTGGTACATCTCCGGCCAGGCATCAAGACTCACGAGTGCCGACGACAACATGCCCGCTGGGGTGCGCATCAATCTGCAGTTGGTCAAGAGGCCGGACAAAGCGGGATGATTGACACTGGACCACAAGTCTCACCTTCAGACCGGACAAGTCGGCTACCCTCAGACCCTTTCATCAGCCAATCCGGCCAGCCGGTTGGCTGGTGATGGCCAATTGGTCGCAGACTTGACACTCTGCCTCTGCCCCCTTGTCACACCCCACCACAGGCAGACTGGCTTGGTCATTTTGTGGTACCGTCCGCAGACCGGCCTCTAGCCCCTCCCTTGCAATCTACCGCCGCGCCGAAGACTGGCTTGGGCAACTGTAGTCACGGCAACGCTTCGTTTTGGTATGATAGAGCAGTGAACCGTTTCATTGTTCCACCGCCCCGACGGCGAGGACAGTGAACTACGAGTGCCTAAGCTTCTGACAAAAAGGGTTATCTCGGCGGCACAGTGAGTAGTTGCATCATCAACCTTTGTAGCCATTGTTTCACTTGTGTCAAATTCAAATCAAACTCTAGCCCTGTAATCCCAAGCTGTTTTGTTTCACATGTCGGTCTTGGCATCCACATTTCGACTTATCCACTTATTTACACGCATACCGCGGCATGTAAACACACTTGTTGTGTCTCCCATCCTGCATGTGTATGTCTGTCTGTCACTGATTGTGTGGGTCAAGATATGTAGCTAGTTAAGTGTGTTGCCTTGACAGTTAAGAGGTGAGGTGCAGCGGTACAGGAGAGGCCGTTTGGCTATGGTAAGAGTAGTCTAGGCGGTGAAATAATGGCACACGTCTTTCTGTATGACTGGCACTGGGATAGACTGGCTGTCGAGGCATCACCTCGTTGTGACTGGCGTGTTTGCTGTAGATCCGGTAATCTGTCCATCCCCACGTCTACCTACATCGCCCTCTCCATCTACCTCTCAATCTCCCTCTCCTTCTTCCATTCCATCTTTCTTCCCCTCACCTCCATTATCTCTCTCTCTCTCTCTCTTCCTTTAAGTCTTTCTGCACTAGCCAAAACGGGTGAGAAAATTTGAGGCAGCAAGAAGAAGAGCTTAAATAAAATTGAGATCGTACGAGACGCGGAGGCAGAGTGAAAGAAAACAATCAAGTCACTAGGGCAGGAGAGGGAGAGATACAGAAACTACAGCTCCTGACATTTGACACGGCCCAGTCTAGCTGAGGAAGTTTGTGCTGTCTTGCCAACAAGAGAGACAGTGGTTTCTCACATTAATCTATGCCTATAATGCACATATCGGAGGCAGACCTATCGATGCAGACACTGTGTGCATGTAATGAGCTCTTTCATTTCATAGGCTTCCTATCAAACTTTCTCTCGCTCACCTCACTCTGTGCACACACTTATGGGCACTGAATGAGCTACTCTCTCTCTCTCTCTCTCTTTCGCTATTTCTCTCTCTTTACTTATATGTCTTTGTCTCTTTCTTATTTTGTGTCTCTTTCGCTTCGCCGAACTACTTACTTGCCTTAAGTAAGGGCATACCAGCACCGATTCTCTGGGAGGAGCCCAGTAGGTTTTGTTGCCTTAACCTCGATTCTCTCATGAGGACTACTCGGTCTCAACCCTGTCTCGGCTAGTGGCGCTCCGAGTGCTGTTGATTAGCTACGTGGCCTGGGCATGGTAACTGTACTCATGTCAGTTGCCAGCACAATTATTTAGGGTTCCTCCAAACAACTTTATCACTTTGCCGAGTCTGGTCTTCTCGAACGCCGCCATCTGTGACCCCAACTGTTAGTTGTTTAGTTGTCTCTCTCCCTCTCTCTCCGATTATTTCTCTCTCCTACCCTCCCTCTCTCCCGCTCTCTCTCTTTTCTCTCTTCTCTCTCTTTATCTTTCTCTCCTTCTACCGCTCTCGTCCACCCGGTCAAAAGGATATCATTACAACACTTTAAAGTGGTACCGTCTGGTGATTTGACAATTATTCGGGAGGACAACAAGCCCTTTCTGCCGCCGAAATTTCTTCCCTTCACAAGTTCTACTCCCATTTAGCACTGGATCTCCATAGCCAACTTTCATTTTTGGATATCTTTGACGTGTCACCATAATGGTGAGTTGGGATTTTTTTATTCAACTTCTCTCAATTCCTCATCGAGAAGCCCACTATTGTTCAACCTTCTCATATACTGCTCATGCATTTTTCCCATTATTTGTCTTTAATGTCAACTTCTAAATCACACAAAGCTGACTAGAAGCGTTGCTAATTACATACTATAGATGCACTTAGTTCTTCACTCGGATTATAGGACACAGTCTTGATATGTAACCTCCATCTTATGACCTGGATGCAACATCAAGGTAAGAAGAGGCGTTTGGACTTCTGATCCTGTATTAATATTAAATCGGGTTTTGCAGACGCCGATTTAGGCGGAAATGGACTGATGATTTTTAGAGTATTCAAAATGGAGAAGAATGAATAGCGGCATGAATCTTAGAAACTCCGACGAGATCCTGGCATCATGTGAAACGGTATTGCTCACTAAATTTGTCGACTACCCTTGAACGAAATCTGCACTCTCCACATAGCAGAACAGTCGAATATAGGTCTTTAAACTATTCATAATAGGAGTTTCCGTTACTAGGGCGGCCAAATCAATAGATAGAAATCCACTTCTCAGCATGTAACCAATGCAACCCAAGTAGCGATGCGACTTTTTGCACCTATGCATTCCTGGCACATAGGATTTGATGATTTGCAATGAGTCTCCGGTGGCTTTCATTTTCGTGTAGGATGAGGAAATCTGTGGGTTTCGGTGTAACTGCGTGGGTGTTTCGGCACTTGTGCACTTACCAAATCATCATTGATAACTCGGAATACTTCGAACGGACCATTGTCCTGGGTCGTGGAGATCAAACTGCCATAATCATGGACTGGCTAGACCCTACAGCCCATACGATCAGTATGCGATTTAGCAACCTTTAAATGAATGGGAAAATAGGGCTTATTAATATGACAGCAAAACACTATAAGCTACTTCGGTTTGAGTCTGATTCTGTTAAAGGGTAAGACTCCTTTCTACAAGTTTATTTGAAGACTTTTTATGTTCCAGTACT